CACAAAACCCGAACCCTAGTCTCCAGCACATGAAGCGTCACGCTTACCACCACACCAAGCCGCCGTTGAGAAGAAAATCGCATCCATGTAATTTATGTTTTCTTATATTAAGCCCCTGAAACCACCCTCATAACTCCGTTCACAGAAACGCTTGGCAAATTTGGTAAGCAGATTTAAACTCAGCATCCGAAAACACGTCCAGCAGTGTAGGTCTCATTTCAAATGCCCACTTCGACTTGGGATCCTTCCCTAGTAAGTGAAAGCAATAGATAAACACTACCCGAAGTCCAAAATCCTACCGTAGTCGCAGCCGTAAAATACTCACTGAGATGGACTTGGGCGTAGGATGAGAGATTTCCTCCAATGAATGTTCGAATATTAACGAGATGTTTTCTACGAGATGTTTCGATGTTTTCCACGAGTTGGCTCGAACAAGACAAAACTGCACGTCGGTGTCCGGACGAGTTTTCGCGCTGCTCCACTACTGCGCGCGGGAAGCAAGGCAATTCGAATATCGCTGTTCCTTAACCGGTTAAACTGTAAGTTCTCAGTTGTATTGCAATGGCTGAAAGTCTAAAAAATTATATGGAAAAGTTGGACGATTTGCCACCATCCATCTGCAAAAATGCCCAAGAAATTCGTGAAATCGACGAGAAGGTACAGCAAAACTTTTCTTTCATTTCCTTTCCTCTTAACTGGTTTCTCATTACAGGTAGAAAGAATGTCTAAAGAAATTCAACAACGGCTTGAGTTCCATGTGCGAAATGTGAAAAAGCTTAGCAATGAACATCGAGTGAAGCTCTACAAAGAAACTCAGGTTTGTATATATTTACCCATTAAGTTGCTCATTTTTTATTCATCATCATCTAAAAAACAAAGCAGTTGTGGCAATTTTCATTTTCGTCCGTAGTTGTGGATATGCCCGTATAACGTTTGTTCCAATCCGTTGTACTAGAAACCTGAAGTGCGATTCTGTGGAAATGTAGTTCGGGAATGAGATACCGCCTTTTTCTTACATTAAGCGCTGTAGCGCGGAAAATGAGGGTTAGCCGAATTTGCGAGCTTATAACAGTGTCTAGGTACGTTTCTTAGCCGGAATATTTATTAATTTAATTATATATAAGTTTTTTTATGCCCTAGGAAGGGAGAACCACCGGGGTGGGTGAGCCACTTGAATGTTCAATCTTACCTCATCCCAGCTTTTTGCACGAGGTAACCATCTTTCTCGATCCTTTGCCTCCCCACGTGATGTTCAGAAGAAAACTATATTTCTTTGACTACGAATGTCTTGTAGTGCCCTCTTGATATTTCTCTTTCTTATTACTTTTGGCTTCTACTTCTATTTTTGTTTGTTTTGAAATAAGAAAGCAATGGAGTCGGCGTTTTTCATTTTTTTATACATTTCAGGCACTGTTCAAGGAGGTTGACAAGCTCAGTGACAGAAAAGTCAAAATAGCGCAAAGGATGTATGATACGGTCGACAATCACATTAAGGAAATGGACGAGGAAATCGCCAAATTTCACGAATATCAACGCAAAAAATACGAAGAAGCTCAGGCAGCAAAAGAAGGTTAGACCTCCTTCAATGTTCATGCATTCAGTCTTGAACCAGTACTGTGCAGTTGTACCAGTAACTGTCACTATTTTGTTTGCATGTATGGCGTTAGCAGTCTTATGAAAACTCAGAACCGAGGGTCACTCTTTTTTTGGGTAGTCTACGAAGCTAAGCTGTTTTTTTTTTGGCATTTTCTTAGATTTCGCCCTGGCTAGTTCTTTAGGTGCGATTTTTAACAACGAATTGTATAATTATGGGCATTTTCATGTACAGGATATTTTCTAACTGTATTCACGAATACCTCTTATAGCTACTCGAGACGACGCACAGGATAAATCGGTCAAATCTTTGAAGAAACCCAATAAGCGAAGAAAGCGCACGGATACGAAAAACACGGAAAATGGTATGTCAGTTCAGCCTTACGAGATTCAGTGTATGCTCTACATTGTACTCTTTCAGAGGTCGCAAATAGCTTCGCGTCTTCTGCAGTGGTACCTCTTGACATGCCTGTTGATCCTAATGAGCCTACGTACTGTATATGTCATCAGGTTCGTTCTTATTAGTTCATATAAGGCATCCTACATACTCCGTTATGTAGAAATTGCATTCGCTGAAACGTCAGTGAAGCGAGAGTGAATGCTTTTGGAGCTTCTCGAGCTCGCTAGAGAAAGTATTTAATCAATTACTTTTTGTGTTTAAAATTTCCATTAAAGGTGTCATTTGGTCAAATGGTTGCCTGTGATGGTCCACACTGTAAGAACGAATGGTTCCATTTCCAATGTGTCGGCTTGACATCATCACCTATCGGTCAGTCACTAATCTTTTTTTCTCAAGGGAAATACCCCCGTCCCCTACACGCTTGTTTTGAGTGGTTTCTTCGCTATCTTCCTGAAAAGGAGAGCTAGTGCTTGAGCTGTGGGCTAGCTAAATACATTACAGATTCTATCTTTTTGAGAACTCTTGGACTAATCCCTCACGAAAAATCGCGTCCCAATAACTGTAGCGTCAGATTATGCGAAAGCATTCCTATCTAGTCATTCAAACTCGCGGGCCCCGTACAAACCGCTCCAGCACGGGTTCCACGCTCCAACACAAGTGAATCGAGCAAAAATAGCAGCATTCGCACCCTCACATTTATACTTATGCGTAGTCAACTTCAATGATTTGCTGCCCTGCTTCCTTCCATTCATTGAGGCACTTTTTGTAACTTATATTATACTTTATTGAGCTAAAATTTTCCTTGTTCAAGCGATTGAATGGCTACTTCCTGCTCATTTTAGGAAAATGGTTTTGTGATGATTGCAAGGAATCACGAAGAAAGAAAAATAAATAGTGATTTGGACTACGAACTTTCGGAGTCAGTGAACATTTCTGAGACTTTCCTTCTCCTTAGCTACTTAAGAAGTTTGTGTCTTAAGGCTCGATCTTTTCATTTTCGTTTTCCTCAATCATTCCTATTTCTGGATCACTAAATGATTGCTCAAAAGCTTAGGTATTTGTCATGCAGATCTCCATCATCCGGATTATTTCTGACGGGTTCATTACTGTAGCGTTTATCACTTTCAGAAGGAGGTTTACTCTGTACTGTGTTTGCAAGCGCCTGTTGGAGTACAGTGTTTGTATATGATAACTTTTATGTAGTTAAATTGATTAGTGATAGATATGGACTAGTTAACAATAAAATTCCATTTATGTTCTCCATAGTTTCACCAGAAGAATAATAGCCTTCTTTTCATGGATATTGTTGAGTTAATGTTGATATCACTTGCTTCGATTTACACTTTTTACTAGGATGGAAAAGGTTAGCCTCACAGTTAGGGGAGTGTCAAGTGCTCACCTTTTCAAGCTTTGGATCTGATAAATTAGTTTCTTTTAAGAGGTCTCAGAAATGAGTAGCTATTAGTCCATGATCGACTTTCTTGCAATCTTGGCATGATATACAGTAAAAATAAGTCCTGTTCAAGCCTATTTCCAAGATCTTTACTGAGCAGCTATTTTCCTTTCCTTTATGGATGAGCAATCTCCCGATGGCATAAGAGACATTTGAAGCTTTTCAGCATTTCATCATTGAAGTATTCAATATGCGGGGTGAGGGTTTGTCTCATATCGGGTGTCCAAACATACTCTAATCCAAACATTTTCTAACCACGCTGTCATGACTCTTCGTCATGATTATGAGGAAGCACATGAACACCTTCATCAATCAATCAATACATCCAGCGAGACTCCAAAGTTGCGGAAACTTCGCCCGTTCCCACACCAAAGTACAAATTGCGGGAATTCCGTAAGGTTCCCATACCAAAGAACAAATGCACCGCCCACCGGGGCCAGTATATAAACCGCCCATTTTTTTTGGGTATAAAAGGCCCAGTTTGTGGCAGTCCAATACCCTTTCTTATCATTTCCAGTTCTTGACAGCTATCGGGCTCGGAGCTCTCGGCTCTGCTCCCGGCGGCTCTCTCAAGCAGTCTCCGCTCTCCAACAATCCAATAGCAAGAACGACAAAAGTCGTTTCCAATGGACAATAAACAAGAGCGGTACGGTACAACAATTCGAAGGAAATAAGCTGAACACTCCAACTTGCCGCCTGTCGGACCCACCACCAATTCCAAAGCGAGACAAACAAGGTTGCACAATCTTCAGACTAGTTGACTTTGTAATGGTACGAATTGTGTTTACGACTTTGACCCAATAAATATTGAGATAAATATCCTATCAAGCATTCTACCACCGAGCCGTCGAAACATGGTGCATCGGCCGAACTCAGCTCCCAACATGGTGCATCGGCCCAATTCAATTCCCAACA